AAATTTCAAATTATTTATATTGTAATAATAATAATAATAATAAGAATAAGAATAATAATAATACTACATATAATAATAATAATACTACATATAATAATAATAATAGTATGTGTAATAATAATATAATATGTATAATAATACATGTATAATAATAATGTACTATGTAATAATTATAATAATAGACAGCTTCAAAAGGCTGTCACGAGATGGCACTGTTTACCACAGCAATGCTGGAGCGATTATGGCCACCTCCACTTGTCATATACAGTGGACCCCCGGTTAACGATATTTTTTCACTCCATAAGTATGTTCAGGTGCCAGTACTGACCGAATTTATTCCCATAAGGAATATTGTGAAGTAGATTAGTCCATTTCAGACCCCCAAACATACACGTACAAACGCACTTACATAAATACACTTACATAATTGGTCGCATTCGGAGGTAATCATTATGCGGGGGTCCACTGTAATGACATATTTTATTCATTCTGGAGTATATACTGTATCAGGTTTCTATGTTATTTATAATGTTTATTATGCCGTATTAGATGAATTGTGATAGATAAATAAGCCGTAGAGTTGATATTAGGTAAATTATTGAAGTATTTTATGGTGCCTGGAATTCCACTAGAATGAATTAATTCCGTTTCAATTAATTTAAATAAGAAAAATATTGGCAGTTTGGAGGGATATGTTGTGTATCTTTATACGTATATGCTTCTAAGCTGTTGTATTCTGAGCACCTCTGCAAAAACAGTGATTGTGTGTGAGCGAGGTAAAAGTGTTGAATGATGATGAAAGTATTTTTTTTTTGGGGGGGATTTTCTTTCTTTTGGGTCACCCCTGCCTTGGTGGGAGATGGCCGATTTGTTAAAAAAAAAAAAATTGACCCTGCAAACAAGCAAATCCAGATGCAAGCAAGGTCACGGACTGGATTAAACTCAGTGAAGGTTCCACTGTATTTATAGGTCTCAGCAGTGTTTTAGACTTTTTTTTTTTTTCAACAAACTGGCCATATCCCACCAAGGCAGGGTGGCCCAAAAAGAAAAACAAAAGTTTCTCTTTTTAAATTTAGTAATTTATACAGGAGAAGGGGTTACTAGCCCCTTGCTCCTGGCATTTTAGTCGCCTCTTACAACACGCATAGCTTACGGAGGAAGAATTCTGTTCCGCTTCCCCATGGAGATAAGAGGAAATAAACAAGAACAAGAACTAGTAAGAAAATAGAAGAAAACCCAGAGGGGTGTGTGTATATATATATGCTTGTACATGTATGTGTAGCATGACCTAAGTGTAAGTAGAAGTAGCAAGAGGTACCTGAAACCTTGCATGTTAATGAGACAAAAAATGGACCCCAGCAATCCTACCATCATGTAAAACAATTACAGGCTTTCGTTTTACACTCACTTGGCAGGACAGTAGTACCTCCCTGGGCGGTTGCTGTGTTTTAGACATGCTGGAGTATATATGAAACTTCTTGAACCATGAACAGTTGGGATCCTCTCTAAGATACGTTACTACATATCACAATCAGCCCTACTCACACTATACTATTCCCTTCATCTATCCCTACCTCACCTATGCTATTTGTGCATGGGGATCAACAGCCTCAACTCGCCTAAAGCCAATAATAACTCAACAGAAAGTCGCAGTAAGAATTATCACGCAATCCACTGCAAGAAAGCACACACCCCACTCTTCAAAGACCTAAACCTACTTACTGTACAGAACATTCACACCTACTATTGTGCAGTCTACATTTACAAAACCATACACTCTGCTTTTAACCCAGATCTAAAACAATTTCTTGATAAACCATACCCCCGGCCGGGATTGAACCCGCGGTTCAATCGTGTCATTACGATTTCTTGAGTCAATTTCTTGATAGTTGCAACAGGACCCATAGACATGACACCAGACACAAAAATCTCTACGATATTCCCTGTGTCCAGCTAAACCTATACAAAAATATGATGTCCATAAAAGGGCCTACAATCTGGAACTCCCTGCCTGAAAACTTTAGAACTGCAGATGCAACCACTATTTTCAAAACTACCATTTAAAAACATCTCATTTCCCTAACTCACTCCATCATTAGTTAACCAAATGAAAACCACCCAATTCTCTTTTTTGTATCTTGAACACATCCAAAGCAGCATAGACTTCTTCTCGTTATCTGTAATTCCCACATAACTTACACCTACACCCACCCGTATGATTGTAAACATACAAGTTCTAATATAGCTATTGCCTACCATATTTTAAGTTAGTCCTATTAAATCTTAAAGTGGTCTACGATGCTCTCCCAGTATGGCTTTAATAGAAACAATGTATCATACCAAGAAGATTCAAATCCCATTGCTAAATCTACCACTTGTAATGTTAAATGATTTCGACTACCTAACTTTTTTTAACCTAATAATGTATGTAACTAACTGGGAAGGTATCTAACTGTGCACCTATTAATATGCTCAAATGTAACCTATATCAAAATAGTGTAAGAATTAGTATTAATCTGCCCGAAGTGCCTAGGCACGATAGTGGCCATCTTTGTCATTAAAATCTCATAACATATAAACCACTCATTGTAAGCTTTACAAGGAAATAAATATTTGCTTGTATGGTGTTATGATGAGTGTCAGTAAACTGCTGACAGTGCAGTGACACTTGATGAACATGCACTGCTCCGGGGAACCTTAGCTTTTTTTGTTTTCACTCTTAAACACAAAATTGTCTGTCTATCTGTCTAGCTCTGCTTATCTGTCTTTCTGTCTGCTTGTGTGTGTTTTTCCATCTGCTTGTCTCTCTGTCTCAGAGGTTTACGAGCCACTCCCTGATTCCTGAGCAAGTAAAAATGCGTATTACATGTACTTGCATCATGCTTATTATGCCTTGTATCTACAAGCACTGTATAACACTTCTCCTGGAATTTTTGGGTTATCCTAGGTAATTTAAACTATGTATAATAACTGTACTTGTGTACCTGTGAGAGACGGATATAGAGATATAGACACAGACAGATACAGAGAGACAGCCAAAATCAGTCAGCCAGCCAGCCGGCCAGCCTGCCGAATACATATTACACATTCCAGAATTGTTTCTCTTTACTTAGGGCATAGGTTATTGGACATTCTGGCGGGATGACACTACCAGTGGTATCAGAAATGAAAGGATGTTGCACATGGGTTATTATCAAGATTTTTTATATTTCCTCAACCACTTGTGGCCACATCCATCTCAGAGCCACTAAACTCTGGGTCAACATCACTTTCCTCTTAAAAGGGGAGTGTTAATACGATATGACATCAGTGAATCCCAGGTGTTTGCCACGCTATTTGCTCTAGCTGGCGTTCAGTTGAACTGGTGCTCCCACAAGGTACTAAGTGGTCCCAGATTTTTTTAATACTGCACACACCCAGTGTTAAGACTCATTCTATACTGACCAGGCATCTCAGGCCAATCGTGCCAAATTTGGAGGCAGGAAAAATAAAACGTAAATCTATGTTTGGACAGTTTAAGGGTTAAACACTGAAGACAGGATGCCATGAGCATAGCTCTGCTTGTGTAACTACAAATAGGTAAAACATTTGTTAAAATGGTGTTCTATTTTGTCTAGATACTTTTTAACACATTGATGGGAAAGGGACTAGTAATTCCTTCTTCTGTATAAATTACTAAATTTAAAAAGAAAAACTTTTGTTTCTCTTTTTTGCTTCACTCTGCCTCGGTGGGATACAGCTGCTTTGCTGAAAAAAAATTATTACATGAAATTCTTTAAACACTGCAATGAATTTACACTATGCTGAATATTTGGTTTGGCATTTTTTTTCATATCAAGTATTTCATCATCTTAAAAGGCTATTCTGATGGTATATTGTGATCCATAATGTTAAAAGGCCATAAAATATCCAACGTATGTTCTCAGCAGCACTTACAAGCCATCATAGCAACCTAAGCAGGGCTATGACAAAGCAGTCATATAAAAATTTGTATCTCAAATTTGGAACTTTGTGAGAAGCTAAAGTTGATATTTTGCTGTTGGTGGAAGGTCAAAACATATGAAAAGTTGTAAGTTTTTTTTAAAGTTGTGCTATACTTGAATTATTTATAAGTACATAAAACCTGTTTGTAAGTTCACAGGAATAAAAGTAACAAAAAAAATGGTAAGGTTTGCAAACACTGTAAATATTACCATACACTCTGTTGTGAAGAAAATCCTGTATGCTTCTGTGAATGCTTTAATTAGAAAAGTCTCAGATATGGAAGGGGCCTCTTGTACATTTTGTTGTCTCTCTCCAAGAACTTTGATATATACTGTACTGTAATTTTACAATAACACAAGGGAAAAAAATATCTTAAATTGAAGGAAATGCCACTTCTTCCTTATGTTTGCCAGTAGAATGACCCAGACTCATCTAGGTTACATTCATTTCTCTGGGATGTGCTCTTGTTTGTACCACAATATCTTGAGATTTGTGAATCCTGAGGTGTCATATGTGCATATAATTTTTAATGGCTTTTTTGCTTCATTTGTTTCCACATAAATAATATAATTTTCCTATTTTGATATTACACAAGACAAACAAAAAGAGGCCAATTCTTCACAGTTTCATTATTCATTTTTGTCACTGACTTCCCTAGTCTTATCATACATTATTTTTTCTCTTGTGCTAATTTACTTTGATTTTACTTCATGATTTGTACTTTGTTACCATGTGCTCATTTACTGCATTTTTTAATCTTTCTTATAATGTCTGTCTTGTCATATACAAGGTGATATTTTCTTCATCAGAGAAAGGTTATTTTATGATTTTAGCATTTTTTTCTAATTTTTTTTACTTATTTCATCTTGTATGGTATTTTCTGTATAGTTTTCACTTCAGTCTTTTATTTCTCCTTTGTTACTTCATCTATAATGTTATTGCTTCCTTTTCTGTTGTGTCCAAGAGGTTTCAGTCTCCTAATTGATCAAAAACTAATTTGCAAGTGTCTCCTTCAGGGACGGAGCTATTTCGGTGGTGAAGATCCTCCGTGTTCTCCGTGTTCTCAGGCCACTCCGTGCCATCAATAGGGCCAAAGGACTTAAGGTAAGATCTGTTTGGCAATGAGTAATGAATGACTTAGTAAAGGGATTTTTTGTTTAAAAAAAATTAAAAATTTTGCTAAAAAGGAATTTAATGAGCAGTATGAATAAAGAGAAGATGAGGAAGAATGTACCAGTTTTACGTTAGAATTTTTTTATCTTGAATTTTTTTGATATACGTACTAAGTAAGCAAAAGTTACATACTATACTATCCTCTGTCACTATGTCCCAAATTTACCATTGGAAGAGGGTAAGGTACCTAGGGATTGGCAGAGAGCATGCATAGTTCCTTTGTATAAAGGCAAAGGGGATAAAAGAGAGTGCAAAAATTATAGGGGGATAAGTCTGTTGAGTGTACCTGGTAAAGTGTATGGTAGAGTTATAATTGAAAGAATTAAGAGTAAGACGGAGAATAGGATAGCAGATGAACAAGGAGGCTTTAGGAAAGGTAGGGGGTGTGTGGACCAGGTGTTTACAGTGAAACATATAAGTGAACAGTATTTAGATAAGGCTAAAGAGGTCTTTGTGGCATTTAATGGATTTGGAAAAAGGCGTATGACAGGGTGGATAGGGGGGCAATGTGGCAGATGTTGCAAGTGTATGGTGTAGGAGGTAGGTTACTGAAAGCAGTGAAGAGTTTTTACGAGGATAGTGAGGCTCAAGTTAGAGTATGTAGGAAAGAGGGAAATTTTTCCCAGTAAAAGTAGGCCTTAGACAAGGATGTGTGATGTCACCGTGGTTGTTTAATATATTTATAGATGGGGTTGTAAGAGAAGTAAATGCGAGGGTCTTGGCAAGAGTGTGGAGTTAAAAGATAAAGAATCACACACAAAGTGGGAGTTGTCACAGCTGCTCTTTGCTGATGACACTGTGCTCTTGGGAGATTCTGAAGAAGTTGCAGAGATTGGTGGATGAATTTGGTAGGGTGTGCAAAAGAAGAAAATTAAAGGTGAATACAGGAAAGAGTAAGGTTATGAGGATAACAAAAAGATTAGGTGATGAAAGATTGAATATCAGATTGGAGGGAGAGAGTATGGAGGAGGTGAACGTATTCAGATATTTGGGAGTGGACGTGTCAGCGGATGGGTCTATGAAAGATGAGGTGAATCATAGAATTGATGAGGGAAAAAGAGTGAGTGGTGCACTTAGGAGTCTGTGGAGACAAAGAACTTTGTCCTTGGAGGCAAAGAGGGGAATGTATGAGAGTATAGTTTTACCAACGCTCTTATATGGGTGTGAAGCGTGGGTGATGAATGTTGCAGCGAGGAGAAGGCTGGAGGCAGTGGAGATGTCATGTCTGAGGGCAATGTGTGGTGTGAATATAATGCAGAGAATTCGTAGTTGGAAGTTAGGAGGAGGTGCGGGATTACCAAAACTGTTGTCCAGAGGGCTGAGGAAGGGTTGTTGAGGTGGTTCGGACATGTAGAGAGAATGGAGCGAAACAGAATGACTTCAAGAGTGTATCAGTCTGTAGTGGAAGGAAGGCGGGGTAGGGGTCGGCCTAGGAAGGGTTGGAGGGAGGGGTAAAGGAGGTTTTGTGTGCGAGGGGCTTGGACTTCCAGCAGGCATGCTTGAGCGTGTTTGATAGGAGTGAATGGAGACAAATGGTTTTTTAATACTTGACGTGCTGTTGGAGTGTGAGCAAAGTAACATTTATGAAGGGATTCAGGGAAACCGGCAGGCCGGACTTGAGTCCTGGAGATGGGAAGTACAGTGCCTGCACTCTGAAGGAGGGGTGTTAATGTTGCAGTTTAAAAACTGTAGTGTAAAGCACCCTTCTGGCAAGACAGTGATGGAGTGAATGATGGTGAAAGTTTTTCTTTTTCGGGCCACCCTGCCTTGGTGGGAATCGGCCGGTGTGATAATAAAAAAAAAAAAAAAAAAATAATTTTCTGATCTGCTAGTTTTACTTTATCCTTTCGGCTGTTGCCTATGTATTGGACACACACATCTTACTCATGGGTATCTTAAGGAGAAATGCTCAGCACTGCTCTGTGAGAATTGTCAAGTTCTGTTGTCAGCCCACTATCTCTTAATAAACTGTCCTGTCTATCATTGTGTATGCAGAATTTAATTCTGACATTGTCTCCACCTTAACACACTTACACTGTCTGACGTCCTCAATGACAGCCCTACCATTGACGCAAACTCCCTTTTTTACTTTGTCAGCAACTGCATTATTACACTGACTTTGTTTATATTTTCCCGTTAGTGCTTCCCACTACCTTGGCTAACTTTGCCTCATGTACACTCCTAACCCTCACTGGTCTCTGATCTTCACATATTTCATCTTCAGCATATCTCACACTGCAGTGCTGTATGGCCCTTGTGGGTTTAGTGCTTAGTTTTGATTGTAATAATAATAATTGTACATAGTTAAGTGTTATACATAGTTAAATACTGTACATAGACTACAGTACTTTACAGAGTTAAAATTGTTTTCTAAAAAAACTACGAGTGTAATAGGAATATGTTATGGAATATTACTGTTCTGGGCCACATCTCAGGTTAGAACATGGGTGTCTATGGAAGAATTGGATTTGACTAACATATTTTCTGCTTACTGAACATTTTCTCAGGATCTTTCTAGGTCATTATCTGGGGGAAGGTCAATTGTAGCTAGCAATGAAATAATAAGGCCTTAAATAATAATTTTGTAAAATTAACTCTAAATAGCATGGATTGAAAATTTGAGAAACTGTGAATTCATTTAATATAACTTTTTTTTTTTTTTTTTTTTTTTTTTTTTGGTGGAATACCGACTTTCTTCTAAAATGAAGGTATCAAACAGGTTAGGTAAAAAAAAAATTTAAATCACATTGGAAGGAGGGAGTATGGAAGAAGTGAATGTGTTCAGATATCTGGGAGTAAACTTGTCAGCAGATGGGCTTAGGAAGGACAATGTTAACTATAGAATTGTTGAAGGAAAAAAGGTGAGTGGTGCATTGAGGTGTCTGTGAATACAAAAAAAGTTATCCATGGAGGCAAAAAAGGGAATGTACGAGAATAGTGGTACCGACACTTGTATGGGTGTGAAGCATGGGTTGTAAATGCTGCAGCAAGGAGGAGGCTGGAGGTAGTGGAGATGTCGTGTCGGCAATGTGTGATGTAAATATTATGCAGAGAATTCATAGTGTGGAAATTAGGAGGAGGTGTGGAGTTACTAAAAGTATTATTCAGAGCGCTGAAGAGGGGTTGTTGAGGTGGTTTGGTCAGTTAGAGAGCATGGAGCAAAATAGAATGACTTGGAGGATGTATAAATCTGTAATGGAGGGGAGGGGTAGAGATCATCCTAGGAAAGGATGGAGGGAGGGGGTAAAAGAGGTATTGTGTGCAAGGGGCTTGGACCTGCAGCAAGCATGTGTGAGCTTGTTTAGTTGGGAGCGAATGGAGATGAATGGTTTTTGGGACCTGACAAGCTGTTGGAGTGTGAGCAGGATAATATTTTGTGAAGGGATTCAGGGAAACTGGTTAGCTGGACTTGAGCCCTGGAGGTAGGAAGTACAATGCCTGCACTTTAAAGGAGAAGTTGGGATATTGGCTGTTTGGAGTAACATCTAAACTGTCGTATCTGAGCACTCTGCAAAGTGGTTGTGTGTGAATGATGGTGAAAGTGTTCTTCTTTTTTTGGGTCACCTTTCCTTGATGGGAGATGGCTGACATGTTAAAAAAAAATTAATAATAATAGTATCAAGAGTAGTTTGTTGGATTATGTATTGGTGGATAAAATGCTGATGGGTAGACTTCTGGATGTGCATGTTTATAGAGCAGCAACAGATTATACACGTGAGGAACGCTGCATCAATGTAAGATTTTGTATAAATAGAATTTACAGTGAAAATCTGTGACTAACATATAATTATACATACATTACTGATAACAGGTAATTAGGTGTAATCATGTCAAGAGATAATGAGGAAGGGGGGGAAGTTTTAAATAGACTAACATTTCATATCTTATGACAAGTAAATTCAACCTCAAAATACTTAGGTATGTGCTACAACCACTTGAAACTTTATAAAGTTGTGTGACAGAATGATACACTGAAGATGGGATACCCTGCCCATAGCTGCCTCTGTAACTTTAAATTAGTAATTACAGTTCGGTATGCTAATGACATGATTTTTTGAGTAATGGATTCATTACATATTTCTTTTCTATATTTGCTTGGAATGTGCGTGATAGGTAAGGATTAGGTATTTTGGTCAGGGTTTATTTAGTTTTAATTCACAAATGATTTTCTTGGGTCGTGTTTCTGTAATTACAACTTCTATATGTTTTACCAGACTTTTACTTCCCCTAAAATGCTGTGTTGTATGTTCTGTATATGAATGAAATTTTTAATTTGTTTAATATACATTTTTACAAAATTTTGTATGTAGTACTGTATGTATGTATAGTCAAACATTCACATATTAAGGTGCAATACATAATTTTGTGTGAATATAGTGAAATTCATTTAATTTTTATGACACTTAAGTATGTGTTACTGGTAAATTAAAACACCAAAACAGTGTCATTTATTTTATTTCTGCTGTGGGACCCTAAAGGGGGCTCCACCTACAATATGCCACACTTATTTCCTAACTTAATAGCTACCTCTACTAGCCCGCACACTGTTGTGCTCAGTCATCCTACCACACTTTCACTTGACATCATTGCTCTGTTATTATTGTTGTGAAGCAGAAGTGCCACCTGGGCATGTGTGCTTGTCCAGTTTAAATTTCCATTGTGTGAGTACCTAATCTGTGCTCACTTTAGATAATTTTCTAGTGGCTCTTTATTTGCCTTGCACCAGGATAGCTTATGACGTCTTGGGTGTACGAGCCTGGCGTGACTAGGTCTTTAAAAATTAGTACCCAAACTCTTTCCCCTGTCTGTTTCTGAGTAGTCATAGCACTTGGCTATTCAGGGAGAAGGGTGATGGCTTTCATGAGCAGATATATCTGGGCACTGTCTTAGAGGGACTAACCATATACATTTGCAGGGTGGGCCTGTCTGTATGATTAGGCTCTTGTGGTCATCTGGTACTTGTGTATGTATGTCATGGCAGGGTGTTCTGGCCTTGCAGGATGTCTTTACTTATGGCTTACTATGTCCTGATACAGCCTGATTACAGAGATTGTCTCAGGAACAATTTCTGGGAAAATCTTTGACACTCTCTTCCATTTCTGGGTACTGGTGGTGTGGTTCCAGGTGGGTTTCCTCAAGCTCCACAGCAGAAACCTGCATTTTCAACCCTGAAAGGCACCTTTCTGTGTCAGGAGCCTTGGAGGGTTGATTGCTATGCCACCCTTCCCTGCTGTGGTGTTTCTTTTGAAAACCAGAGGTAGGAGGGCACACACATCAATAACAGTAGAGGAATGGTGGGCTAATGGAAGTGAAGGAGGCTGAAATGGGCTTATTAATAAATGTAAGATAATACCTGATCTAAGAGAGGTAGGTATTAGGTAGGAAATAAGTGTGCTGCACTTTAATGCAGAAAGGCATCTTGCAGTGTTCAAGAAGCAGTTTTATAGTTTCTTTAAATCTTTCTTGTTGGCATTGCTCTGAACAGCATAATATCCAATGCTGTCCTTTATCTGGTGGAATTTAGATCTTTTTTCACTTGTGCAAATCTTCTGGTATTTTTGAAGAATTATATTTTATATTTTAAAATTAACCACTTAACTGTCCAAACATAAATCTACGTTCTCTTGCTGAGTGCTCCAAATATTTTGAAAAAAAAAAAACTTTTAATTAAAGAGGGGAATTTTCTGTATGTAATAAGACCAAAAAAAAAAAAAACTTAGGGTCAGTACTTACCGAAATATAAGGCCATGAAGTTGGTGCTGGATGCTTACCTGATGGCAACATTGGAGTCCTGACGCTTGCAGAAGTGATATACCTTTTTTCCTCATTTTTTTTTTTTTATATGATTTTTATGTTCTGATTATTAGAATTTGTAGTACTTCTTGTGATTTCATAGCCAGTGTTTGTTCTGACACTAATAATAGGTACTGAAATAGTACTCAAATAGTCACAAGCACACTGATGGGGGAAATTTTCACCTGCCTTAGTCACATAGTATTGTCTAGAAATATATACAAAGTATTCATAGGTCCCAGCAATGTTTTAGACATTCTGGAGTATATATGAAGCTCCTTGAAGCATGGTTTAAGATGAGTGTCACCCCACTGCTGATTGTGCATCAGTGGATTGACATCTGATGATCGTGCACTGCCTTGGCTTTATTTGTTTTCACTGTTACACATAAACATGTGTCTGTCTGTTTGTCTGTCTGTCTAGCTCTGTCTCTGTTTATCTCTGTCTCTGCTTATCTGTCTTTTTGTCTGTCTTCCTGTCTCTCTGTTTGCCTTGTCTCCCTTTGTCGCAGAGAGAGAGAGCCCCTTATTTACCAACAGGTAATACACACTATGCAGAGCCGTCACGTCGGATTGCTGAACAAGTGAAAATGCATATTACATGCCAGTCATGCTTATTATGCCTTATATCTACAAGCACTGTATAGCACTTTGTCTGGATTTTTTGGGTTATCCTCGATAATTTACATGATGAATAATAACTGTATTTATGTGTACCTGTGAGACAGAGATAGACAGAGACTGATATATATACAGACAAATAGATGGAGATAGAAACAGCCTAAGTCAGTCAGCTAGCTAGCCAGCCAGTCAGCCAGCCAGCCAGCCAGCCAGCCAGCCACCCAGCCGGCCTGCTGAACATGTATTATACATTGCAAAATTGTTTCTCTTTACTTAGGGCATAAGTCATAGGACATTCTGGCAGGATGACACTACCAGTAGTATCAAAATTGAAAGGATGTTGCACAAATTTTGCACATGGGTTATTATCGAGGTTTTTGATATTTCCTTGACCCCTTGTGGCCATGTCCATCTCAGAGCCACTAAACTCAGGGTTAATATCACTTTCCTCTTAAAAGGGGAGCGTTAATACGACATGGCATCAATGAATCCCTGGCGTTTGCTACGCTGTTTGCTCTAGCTGGTGCTCAATTGAACTGATGCTCCCACAAGGTACTAAATGGTCCCAGATTTTTTTAATACTGCACACACACAGTGTTAAGACCCACTCTGTACTGACCATGCATCTCGGGTGAATCGTGCCAAATTTGGAGGCAGGAAAAATAAAACATTGATCTACATTTGGAGCGCTAGCAGTAACAACGTAGATCTACATTTGGATGGTTAAGGGGTTAATAATGCTAATTATAATGCAGCACATATCTTGCTTGCAGAATAATTTGCATAGGTTTATGTTTTTGTGGAGGCTCATCTACTGCTGTTAAAGAAACACGATTCATAACTTTATTTGTTACATGGATATTTTACTACTTTAATTTTGCATGCTTATTTGCATTGATATACAGCCTTTCCTCACTTAGCGATGTACTCATTTACCAACCACTCGGACTTACAACTAGCTCTCCAACTAGTATGCGTACCTAAATAATGTATATTAGAGCTGATTTCCTCTATTCTGTGTATTGCAGTATATAGTACACTACTTTATAAACATTTAAAAATATACCAGAAATGTTATAAATGGTGCAAAGGTGACATTAAAAAATATCTAAAGATGGTTGACACAAACCCACTATAAGTATAATATGCTTCTCGCTTAATGACCAATTCGCTTACTGACCTACTCTTAGGAACAGAACCCTGTTGTTAAGTGAGGAGAGGCAGTATAGCACTGCAGTATCAACTAAAAAACTACCAATTGCTGTATTCATTACTTAATTTTTTCATTAATTTATTATACAATATATTCTTTTTCTCCCCTCTCTTGCTGGTGGTCTTTGGGAACCCCTTTGGATGTTTGGAACACTTAGCACGTAGTTCAGTGCGTCATAGTGGCTATTAAGACCATTGGCAACATCATGCTGGTTACCTGCCTTCTCGAGTTTATGTTTGCAGTAATCGGAGTTCAGTTGTTCAAGGTAAATTTATTTTAGGAGTAAGTTCTTAATTTTTAGCAAGAAAGAAGTGTAAGCTCATGTATTTCAAGGTGAGACATAGGATAAAGCTTTTAAGCTTTTAACATTTATTTTTCCACCGTGAGATACATTATGCCCAATAATAATTTGATGTATGTACTAGTTTCCTTCTCTTTTTGTCAGTGGCAAGTATTTGACAAAAGTAACTGTTGAAAGTAAAAACTGTATAGGTTGAAATGTTTTCAGTGCTTATTTTAATAAATTTTATATTTATGGAATAATTTTAGAAATGTGAAGCTAAGTAGCAGCTAACTATTGTTGCTTTGTAACCTTGAAAATCTTCTGTGTGGACCATTCTATCTTTGTCTTGAGTACACTTTGTCAGGTACTTACACCCTTAAGGAGAAAATAATATAAATAAGAACTTTTACATATTAATAGGTAAATTACTGCACTTGTAATTTTATCTTTGTATGTGTATGGGCTAGTAACCCCTTCTCCTGTAGACATTTACTAAAAAAGAGAAGAAGAAAAACTTTATAAAACTGGAATGCTTGAATGTGCGTGGATGTAGTGCGGATGACAAGAAACAGATGATTGCTGATGTTATGAATGAAATGAAGTTGGATGTCCTGGCCCTAAGCGAAACAAAGCTGAAGGGGGTAGGGAAGTTTCAGTGGGGAGAAATAAATGGGATTAAATTTGGAGTATCTGAGAGAGTTAGAGCTAAGGAAGGGGTAGCAGTAATGTTGAAGGATCAGTTATGGAAGGAGAAAAGAGAATATGAATGTGTAAATTCAAGGATTATGTGGATTAAAGTAAAGGTTGGATGCAAAAATTGGGTCATAATAAGCGTGTATGCACCTGGATAAGAGAGGAATGTAGAGGAGAGAGAGAGATTTTGGGAGATGTTAAGTGAATGTATAGGAACCTTTGAACCAAGTGAGAGAGTAATTGTGGTAGGGGACCTGAATGCTAAAGTAGGAGAAACTTTTAGAGAGGGTGTGGTAGGTAAGTTTCGGGTGCCAGGTGTAAATGATAATGGGAGCCCTTTGATTGCACTTTGTATAGAAAGGGGTTTAGTTATAGGTAATACATATTTTAAGAAAAAGAGGATAAATAAGTTTACAAGATATGATGTAGGGGAAAATGACAGTAGTTTGTTGGATTATGTATTGGTAGATAAAAGGCTGTTGAGTAGACTTCAGGATGTACATGTTTATAGAGGGGCCACAGATATATCAGATCACTTTTTAGTTGTAGCTACACTGAGAGTAAAAGGTAGATGGGATACAAGGAGAATAGAAGCATCAGGGAAGAGAGAGGTGAAGGTTTATAAACTAAAAGAGGAGGCAGTTAGGGTAAGATATAAACAGCTATTGGAGGATAGATGGGCTAATGAGAGCATAGGCAATGGGGTCGAAGAGGTATGGGTAGGTTTAAAAATGTAGTGTTAGAGTGTTCAGCAGAAGTTTGTGGTTACAGGAAAGTGGGTGCGGGAGGGAAGAGGAGCGATTGGTGGAATGATGATGTAAAGAGAGTAGTAAGGGAGAAAAAGTTAGCATATGAGAAGTTTTTACAAAGTAGAAGTGATACAAGGAGGAAGAGTATATGGAGAAAAAGAGAGAGGTTAAGAGTGTGGTGAAACAATGTAAAAAGAGAGCAAATGAGAGAGTGGGTGAGATGTTATCAACAAATTTTGTTGAAAATAAGAAAAAGTTTTGGAGTGAGATTAACAAGTTAAGGAAGCCTAGAGAACAAATGGATTTGTCAGTTAAAAATAGGAGAGGAGAGTTATTAAATGGAGAGTTACAGGTATTGGGAAAATGGAGGGAATATTTTGAGGAATTGTTAAATGTTGATGAAGATAGGGAAGCTGTGATTTCGTGTATAGGGCAAGGAGGAATAACATCTTGTAGGAGTGAGGATGAGCCAGTTGTGAGTGTGGGGGAAGTTCGTGAGGCAGTAGGTAAAACGAAATGGGGTAAGGCAGCCAGAATTGATGGGATAAAGATAGAAATGTTAAAAGCAGGTGGGGATATAGTTTTGGAGTGGTTGGTATGGAAGAGGGTAAGGTACCTAGGGATTGACAGGAGCATGCATAGTTCCTTTGTATAAAGGCAAAGGAGACAAAAGAGAGTGCAAAAATTATAGAGGGATAAGTCTGTTGAGTATACCTGGTAAAGTGTATGGTAGAGTTATTATTGAAAGAATTAAGAGTAAGACGGAGAATAGGATAGCAGATGAACAAGGAGGCTTTAGGAAAGGTAGGGGGTGTGTGGACCAGGTGTTTACAGTGAAACATATAAGTGAACAGTATTTAGATAAGGCTAAAGAGATTTTTGTGGCATTTATAGATTTGGAAAAGGCGTATGACAGGGTGGATAGGGGGGCAATGTGGCAGATGTTGCAGGTGTATGGTGTAGGAGGTAGGTTACTGAAAGCAGTGAAGAGTTTTTACGAGGATAGTGGGGCTCAAGTTAGAATATGTAGGAAAGAGGGAGATTATTTCCCAGTAAAACTAGGCCTTAGACAAGGATGTGTGATGTCACTGTGGTTGTTTAATATATTTATAGATGGGGTTGTAAGAGAAGTAAATGCGAGGGTCTTGGCAAGAGGCGTGGAGTTAAAAGATAAAGAATCACACATAAAGTGGGAGTTGTCACAGTTGCTCTTTGCTGATGACACTGTGCTCTTGGGAGATTCTGAAGAGAAGTTGCAGAGGTTGGTGGATGAATTTGGTAGGGTATGCAAAAGAAGAAAATTAAAATTGAGTACAGGAAAGAGTAAGGTTATGAGGGTAACGAAAAGATTAGGTGATGAAAGATTGGATATCAGATTGGAGGGAGAGAGTATGGAGGTGAATGTATTCAGATATTTGGGAGTGGACGTGTCAGCAGATGGATCTATGAAAGATGAGGTGAATCATAGAATTGATGAGGGGAAAAGGGTGAGTGGTGCACTTAGGAGTCTGTGGAGACAAAGAACTTTGTCCTTGGAGGCAAAGAGGGGAATGTATGAGAGTATAGTTTTACCAACGCTCTTATACGGGTGTGAAGCATGGGTGATGAATGTTGCAGCGAGGAGAAGGCTGGAGGCAGTGGAGATGTCATGTCTGAGGGCAATGTGTGGTGTGAATATAATGCAGAGAATTCGTAGTTTGGAAGTTAGGAGGAGGTGCCGGATTACCAAAACTGTTGTCCAGAGGGCTGAGGAAGGGTTGTTGAGGTGGTTCGGACATGTAGAGAGAATGGAGCAAAACAGAATGACTTCAAGAGTGTATCAGTCTGTAGTGGAAGGAAGGCGTGGAAGGGGTCGGCCTAGGAAAGGTTGGAGGGAGGGGGTAAAGGAGGTTTTGTGTGTGAGGGGCTTGGACTTCCAGCGGTCATGCATGAGCGTGTTTGATAGGAGTGAATGGAGACAATTGGTTTTTAATACTTGACGTGCTGTTGGAGTGTGAGCAAAGTAGCATTTATGAAGGGATTCAGGGAAACCGGCAGGCCGGACTTGGGTCCTGGAGATGGAAAGTACAGTGCCTGCACTCTGAAGGAGGGGTGTTAATGTTGCAATTTAAAAACTGTAGTGTAAAGCACCCTTCTGGCAAGACAGTGATGGAGTGAATGATGGTGAAAGTTTTTCTTTTTCGGGCCACCCTGCCTTGGTGGGAATCGGCCAGTGTGTTAATAAAAAAATAATAATAAAAAGTATGTGTAGTTTGATAGTGTTTGACTCAAGATTATTTGGTATCAGAATTCAAAATGAGAGATTAGACCATATCAAATTGCTGTTGTAATGGTTTGATATCACAGGAGTATTTACTGTACTAAGCAGGTAGTTTTACAGTGAACCAGATTGCTTTACTTCCATCTTATGCCATTCATTAAGGTCATTATTAAATCTTACTGGTATATGCAAAAAAAATACTTTAAGGCTCCATGCTTCCCAAATTTCTGGACTTTACAAACATAATTGTGTTTGCATTATTATATGTATATTCAACAAGTAGATTCCTTTTCTTTTCAACACATTGTCCATCTCCCACCTAGGCAGGGTGACCTCAGAAAAGAAAGAAATACTTTCACCATCATTCACACATAAGTAGATATAGTGAAGAAAAGACATGTTACAAAAAAGAAGTTTTTTTATTACAATGTTTCTCTCCATGTAAAGCCTTATCAAGTTATTTCTTGATAAAGTTCTACACAGATTGAGACACTATCCCAATAAGAGCTTATTCTTCATTGTCTTTTCTTCACTATTCTTTGCAGTATGCCATTCTTTATTTGTTGTGCTAATACTTCTAGTACAGGTTGGCCATCACTAATCCGGCACTCAGTTATCTGGTTCCATCAGTAATCCGGCACTAATTTCGGCTAGCATAATTTCAAATTTCATCATTACACTGACCCAAATCATTATACTGGCTCAAATTTCATCATTATACTTACTCGGAAAGTGTGCAGATGGTTGTAAATCCACACAGCAAGCCAGTGTAGGAGAAAGCAGTGATGAAAATGAGGAAGATATAGCAGAAAGTCTCTGCAAACTCCGGCAAACTCACTAATCTGGCACACTACAGGTCCCAGTGATGCCGGATTAGTGATGGCTGACCTGTACCTGTTGATCTGGTCTGACTACAGTTCCTTCTGGTAACTTTGCACTTTCTTTACTTCTGTCATTCATTGTCAGTGTCTTCCTCCTTTCTCAGCCTTATCACCTGATTATTCACAGTATCTTTTTTCTTATGTGGCTGTAGAGTAACATTGGTTCAGTTTTGGCCTTTGATGCTATATAATTTTCAAACTTATTTCAGCTTCCATTCTTATTCTTTCATATTTGTTTCTAGCTCTTTTGCTTGTTTCTTGATGTTTTGAATTTTGAATTGTTTTTTTTTTTTCAAGCCCTTTTTCTCTTTCCCTTGGTGGCTCCGAAGTTTTTATTAATCTATGGGCTGTCTCTGATTATCCTACTTTTTCCTTGTTGGTGTGAATCATTCCTGTGCC